TGTATATGTATGTATATATATATATATATATATGTGTGTGTGTATTTAATAATTTAGACATTTTAATTCAGTTTCATGGGTTTAAAATGATGTGAATTGTAAAACTCTAAGCCCAAAACAAAACAAAAAACCTTTTATTTAAAATAACACACCAAAACATTTTTTTTTCTTTTTTAAATTTCAGTTCATTTTATTTTTATTCTTTAAAACTTTTTTTACTTTATTGCTGGGAGCAATAGCCAGGCTGGCTGTTGCACTCCCCCACTGCCTGCTGTCAATCAGCAGAGGAGGCATCTGAAGGAGTCCTCCTCTGCTGATTGACAGCAGGCACTGGGCGGTTGCAATAGCCAGCCTGCTATTACATTTTAAAATATCCAATAGCATGCTGGGTATGGCTCCCCGCCACTAGATGCAGGGCAGAGGCTACACGGGACGGCAGCGAAGGTAACCAATCGTAAATCAACTAATCGGTTTAAGCGATTTAGTTGTTGCAGACCTAGTATTCTGCATTGCTGTATAATGTATTGCTGGGATTTGTAGTCTATAGCTGATGGTCAGGGCAGGAAAAATCCACTCACAGACGAGCAGACGGTGGAGCCCGACTAGCAGCTTCCCGGCCGACTGTTGTAATTACACGGCTGGTCGGGAGCTTTACATTCAAGCGATCAGGCGTCTCTAGAGACGCTCCATCGCTTGTATCAGCAGCTGTCACTGTCGTTGCCGGGCCCGAGATCCGCTGTGCCCGATGCGGCCGGGACCGGCACGGCTCTGTGACAGGAGATCAAAGGGAGTTCAGTATACAAACTCCCTTTGATCTCCTCTCAGTCCCCGAATGCAGGAAGTGATGTATATTACATCACTTTCTGCACTCTGTCCCTCCATGATGTCTCCATAAAGAGGACCTGTCATGTAAATTGGCTATCACATAGGGGGCTTCTTAGTCCCCCATGTAATAGCAATAAAGTTGTTTGGGGGGAAAAAAAAGGTAATACAAAAATTAAAGAATCATGGAAAAAAATAAGCTTAAAAAAAGAAAATTTCTTTTTTTAAAGTCCCTGCCCCCCATATACACACGCATATATGAGTCGGGTGCGCCTACGTGCGAAAACGACGATTGCGCCGCACATGTTACATATCGCCGCAAACGTTGGAGTGAGAACAATAATTTTAGAGCCATTAATCACTGATAACACTAAACTGATGAGCAGTAAAATCGTTTTAATCGTCACCTATGGGCGTTTTTTGCGATTTTGCGGGCGCAGTGGTGATTATATACCTCCAAAAGAAAGCTCTATCTGTCCCCAAAAAATGTTAACATAAATTGCAAGGCTATAGTCCGGTCATGCTGACTGGTGAGACACCATCAAATTTTTCAAGCCCTGCTGATTGTATTATTCTGCATTGTTGTATAATGTATTGCTGAGATTTGTAGTCCTCTGTAGCTGATGTATTGCTGAGATTTGTAGTCCTCTGTAGCTGATGGTATTATTCTGCATCGCTGTATAATGTATTGCTGGGATTTGTAGTCCTCTATAGCTGGTGGCATTCTGCATTGTTGTATAATGTATTGTTGGGATTTGTAGTCCCTCTACAGCTTAGAGTCAGTGGCAGAACTACCAGGGGTGCAGCATTTGCGGCTGGGACCGGGCCCTGGCACTTCACCACTACCCTAAAATCATTAGTCTGTATTGTTTTAGAAAAACTGTGACATGACACTAAAGGAAAAAAAAAAAAGGTTTTGGTTATTGGTGAGTACTTGAGGAAAATGATCTGTACTTATATACTCGGTCTGGAAGAAATGTCATCGGTGCATCCCTAGTATAAATAATTTACTTCTTTAAATAGTGTATTTTGTATAGAGGGCTATTTATTGGACCAGAAAGAGGGAGAACTGAGGAGGAAAGAGTGACGGGAGTTTGGTTTAAAAAAAGAAAAAAAAAGACTGCCTCCAAATGAAGGACGGCTTGGAAGGTCACTGTATTGTTGCCGTTATAAATGTTTTCTTTTCTGAGAAGTTCTTGAAACTTGTTTTTTCTTCAGTGTTACTGTAAAACGTTTTTGTATAAACCAGCGTGGGCCACTTCTAGCCATAAGACATTTTCCATCGTTTTCATTTCTGCCAAATGGTTCTTACATTTGCAATGGTGTCACGTCCTATTGAAGCAATGCTTTCAGACCGTGGAAAGATGCATGAGTGTTGTAAACAACTGTTTTATTTATATTAAAAATAAACATGAGAAAATATCGTCCATCTGATAAAAAGGCCAAATACCTCCTATGGAATGACTTTCCTGGCAATGATTGCCTGAGAAGAATCATTCACTCGAACAAGTGGCTGACTTCGGACCACCAGGTTTTTTATGTCTGTGACCAGGAGTCCTTTTTCAAATTCTGTTAAATTCCCTTTCCTGAAACTGATTAGGAATGACACGTTTGGTTGTGGATTGTGCAGTACCGGCATAAACCTGTTTTCAAGGTTTTGTTTCAAGGTCCTGGTAGTTGTAAACAGACCTCACGTGGCCAGTGAAATGCATTCCTATGATCATGTACTGCTGGGAATAGTGACTTGCATTTACTTGGATGCACAGCAGGCATGCAGCATTTATTTTAAACAACTCCGGGCAATAAGCTAAATAGTTGAAAGTAAAATGTATCATGTTTTAATATTCAAAGAAAGGAATTTATCATAACTGGAGCAGGCACAATTTGGAGCAGCTGTGCATGACAACCAATCAGCTTTCTCTCTTTCGTTTTCAAATCCTACCTGCGCAAACTAAAGACAGAAGCTGATTGGTTGCCCTGGGTGACTGCTCCAGATTCTGTCTGCTCCTGTTTTGATAAATCCCGCCCACTGTATTTGCATTTCTCTCGGTCTGGTTTGAAGACCTTTACACAGCCCGGCCAGACAGCACAGCCAGGTTTGTGTCATGACTTTTCCCTGTTTCAGTTAAGCAATACAGCTCGGTTACCTCCCTTATGTATACAATGCAGCACAACTCACTGACCTTTAGGCTGGGTTCACACCTAGGCGTATCGAATATGCGCGTTTGTCGCACGATTCGTGGTAAAAAAAATGCGCGACAAACACGCGTTTCCGAGGACTACTTGGCTGTATCCCAATGGAAACGCGTGACAAAAACGCCCCAAAGAAGCTCCTGTACTTCTTTAGGCATAGGACGTTTTGTAGCGCGTTCATACAGCCTGTAATATGCCCAGGTGTGAACCATACCCATAGGAAATAATGGGATTTCGGTGTTTGAGCGTTTTGCAGAGTGTAGAAACGCGCTACAAAACTTCCAGGTGTGAACCGGGCCTTAGTGCTGGCCCTACTGTTTGCAGTCTTGAGTTCTACTGTAAAAAGGATTACAAGTGGCTGATACTAGGCCACCTCGTCTATGTTCTTACTCTAGTTGCATTTAGCGATTTTTGATACATAGCTGCATTTACAATTTTTTGGATATCTGGCTGATTTTCAGCTTTTAAGTGATCTTAAAGTAGAAACATTTTAAGTGATTCCATTTTCCCCCCTCCCCCCCCCATGTTAGTGTCAGCACTTACCTTAAATGATGTCTCTTAATCCGATCTTCCTCTTCTTTCCCCATGTTTTTCATCTGTCCCTCCAGCGGTGCGGCGGCTCTCCGATCCAGCGCTGACTCCTCTCTGCTTGCTGGCACTTCCAATCCAGCGGCGTCTGCATGCGGGTGCACGCGTCCATAGATTTACCTTGCGTCTCTGCTCGTCTCCCTGATGAGAATCCGAACTGCGCATGCACCCGCCCCAATATCCTTTGCGGCTGCACAAACAGTTCCGGACTCTCGCGGGAGCGCGCTGCGATAATAAGGTCAGTCTAAACTGCTGTTTAAGCGGTTTAAAAAAAAACAAAAAACTTTTTGCCTATATCTACTGCTTGTTAGCAGTAGATATAGGCAAAAAAACGGGAGGGTTTAGAACCCCTTTAAGCTCTACTCTGTGCTCTGCCCCCAATCACCCCTTTTGGCAGCCAGTGGCTAACTGCAGGTGCAGTGGCAGCTAACTGCGGTCAATGGCTAGTGTCCATGGACACCTTTTGGGCCTTTGACTCTAGGGGCTTTACAGGGATCCATCTGAAGCCTAGTAGAGATAGGTAGATACTCGGCACAGATGCTTTCTTCAAAATGTTTAAGGTTTAAGTCAGGCTCACTTTTAAAGCTGAACTCCGGGATAAGCAAATATTGTCTAAATACGAGAGACGTGTGTATTATTACATAAAACTTGTTGCGTCTTGTGTATTTCTTCCAGATCTGTGCAGTAATCAAGTAATTAAACATTTCCTCTGTGCAGGAACTTCTTGTATTAGGACCACCAACTTCTGCTCTCTCCTTGTGCAGGGTCACTGGCCTTCTAACCGCCCCCCATCTGTCGTTTTCGGTAGTCAGTCTGTAGAGAGTGGGCCTGCTGGGTCCTTCCCACAGCTCTCCTCTCTGCACAGGCTATGTTCGGCACAGAGATTTGTTACCACTACATTTACAAGGTAATACCTGTGTTTGCAATAAAAATTGGTGCACATAAAGTGGATTTATAATCTTTGGGCTATTGGGGAATATATTTTAATGAAAGTTTTTCTGCTCGGAGTTCAGCTTTAAAGTAAACTTTTTGCTATTATCGGTAATGGGGCCTGAAATTGCTGAGCTCTTTCTGAAAATGCTTGCTGCCTGGCTGTTTTGCTGACCAGTATGCATACTGTCCAAATAAAGCCCTTATTTGCATACTCGTTTTGAGTTAGTGACTTGAAGTATCGAAGCAAGAGGGACGGCCTTGAATTTTCAGGATGAAAAGTCTACAATGGGTGCCACCTTTTTTCTGTCAGGAAAGGTTTATTATTTTACTTTATTGCAGAAATGTGCTGTTTGTATGAATGAAGTCTGACATTGCCATGTGGTAGCCTCTATGTTGAACAGTTATTCATGTTGCTTGTGGTTTTCACATAGCATTGACAATTCTCTCCATTTTCTTTCTTTCAGAACAACATTTCTCAGACATTGTCGCAGGCGAGGAATTCCTAAATCTTGGAATCGAACAAGTGTGTAGCCTGATTGCCAGCGATAAGCTTACTGTGATCTCAGAGGAAAAGGTAACAGCGGTTACCTTTGCAGATTTTTTAGAATATTTAATCTCTGCACATTTCATCAGGAAACAGTGGAACTATTCCCAGCAATCGGCATTGTAAAGTAGAATGCAGAAAAGAACTTGGAAGCTGTACCTTTAACCCTTTTGCTGCCAAGCCCTCGAACGCTTTTAACCTCAGCTGACCAGGCTGTTTTTGCAAATTTTCACCTACCATATTAATTTTAAACTGCAGCGTATAGCATTTGTTAAAGACCCCCCCAAACCATATTTTCTGAATGCACTGGCCCGATAGAATAAAAAGATGGTGCTACTAATTTTGTAGGTCCTGCGATAATTGAGCAAATGTTTATCAAATCGTCATAAAACCGATAAAATTACACAATTAAATTGATAAAAGCACACTAAAATCAGTATCCTTGCACAAAAGAATACTTTTCTGAGTAAATCTAAAAGATGAAACTGTTATCGAGTTAACAAATAATTGTTAATTTTAAATTGCGCCTTTTTGCGAAAAATGGTAAAAAAAATTAAGGAATGCAAACTGTAAATAAGCAACTAACAGTCTGATCTGCAGTACCCTTTGTGCACTGTGTATGCTGTGATAAAACGATGTAGGCATATATTTAATCGCAAAACAGCATATCACAAGGCACGGCAATACGTCACAACGCTTTGCCATGTGTTGTTAAATTAATGTTATTTTAAAAAGAAAAAAAATCAAGCACTGCGATTTTTTTCTGACAACGCACCGCAGCATGTGTGCATGGCGTATACCACAATATGGTGGGGGGGGGGGGGGTTACGTTTTTTTTTTTTATTTTGTAGAAATGGAAAAAGAAATTGAGGACACCGAGTCCTCAATCTTTTTCTGCAGCCTCAACACTGAATGAATGGAAAACACTCAGTACAGAGGCTTTCCATTCGTTCAGAAACTGGTGATGGTAAATATTTTCTATCAACCAGTTATGAATGGACAGGAAGCCTCTGTAGTGAGTGCTACTGTTCATTGATAAATTTCACACAGCTTACCATGTCCCCATTCATAAATGAACAGGAAGTGATGTAAGCACCTCCTATTCATTCATAACCAGGGACATAGCTTACTATGTGCGCAGTTGTTTACAAACCCCAATGATCAGTACTGATCACTGGTGTTTGTTCTGCACAGTGAAGGATCAGCAAATATTTCACATATTTGCTGATCCTCCACTCTCAATCCTGAAGCTTCGCCTGGCACCGCCGCACTCCATTCTGACAGCAGGGCTCTTTGACTTCTCCCTGCTCACATCCTGTCACCGCTCCCCCGCTGAAGCGACCATGAACTTACAGCAGAACGGAGAAAGCCACAGACGTAAGGCTTACCGAGCTGGCCAGCTGGAAGCGGTTGTGTTCTGCCGTATGCCCTACGTCGGTGGCAAGGAAAGGGTTTAAAGTGCTAACCAATGTCTAACAAGTTCATATGACCGGCCTGGTATCTGACTTTTTTCTGTCCTGCTCTGTTGAACTATGTCAGAAAACTGGTGGGGCTGGTTGAAAGCTGCTAATCCACCATTTTACTCACTTACTCTCGATCAGACAAGATATGTTATACAGCTGGACAAGTTATTCAGAAACCAACCAGTCTAGCCTTAAAACCAGTATGCACTCGTTGAACCAGAAAGCATGTGCTTCCATTGTCATTCATAGAAATGAAAGTTGGGCGGCATCTATGATTTTTTTTTTTTTTTTTTTTTTTTTTTCCTTTTTCTTGGCTT